TTCAGCTAACGTAGCACGGACGTGCCGGACGATGGAGTCTCCGATGATCACAGCGTCGCGTTCCGTCTCGCGGAGGGGAGCGAAGCGGTTCCGGGTGGAGATCTCGAAGACCGGAGGCGGCGGAGGGGGAGAGGTCGTCGCCCGGGGCCTGGCTCGCGTCTTCCGTGGGGGGTGCACCCAGGGTCCGTGGTGTCCCGGCGCCGGAGTGAAGGACATCTGGGAAGATCGCGTCCTGGGTGCACCGGGCCTGTGCAGAGAAACACACGGAGTAGAGGTGGTGGGAGAATTAGCAGCGCGCTGTATACTTACCTCGGACTTGTGAGCGTCAGCCTGGGATGTTTCCAGCGCGGCTCTCCGCTCTCTCAGCTGGGTCTGCTTCTCCACCAGGTCGTGGATCTGCTTCTCCACGGCCTCCAGCTCAAGCTGCACCTAATGCAGCTTGAACGTGTCCTCACCTGCACTCAAAGGTAGACACACATCCGCCATTAAAGCAAGTAACAGTGAATAGTGTATTAGTAATGTAAGCGAGATTAGCGGCAACCACGCTGGTGATGCTAGCGGGCTATATGCTAATAGCGGACTCGGGAAGTCAAAAATAGAACTAGTGATAACAAGGTGCTCTGATTGTTTTTGTTGTAGAATACGATAGGGGATATATTCACACGTTATAGAAACGAAAATGATGGTGTGTAAAATTGACTGTAAGATAAAAAATTAGACGACAAAGAATTAACTTGACGGAGCTCAAACTCAAAACACACGGCAGCAACAAACAGGAAGTACTACGAGGTGCATGACTGCAGCTCTACATCCGCTGTGGTCCAGAGGGATGCAAATCCTGCCTTACTTAGACGACTGGCTGCTGTGTGCACCGACAAAACAACAAGCTGCACGCGACATCAGACAGCTTTTGGAGCATATGCAGAAGTTTGGTCTTGCAGTAAATGAGGCAATGAGTTGTCTGAATCCAGTGCAAACAATTACTTATATTGGAATGACACTGGACTCCTGTGTAATGTGTAATTTGCAGTTGTACCCTGCCAGACATCTTCATCAGCTGATTGTTGTTTTGCGCAGTTGTATCCAGGCATTGACACCGTGGAACCATCGGGAGTTTCTGATGTCAGGTGTTCCCCTAGGGGTCATTCCTTCTCGTCGAGAGGTGGTCAAGACCGATGCTTCCCTCTTCGGATTGGGGGGCATCATTTAATCACAGGGGTGTTTGTGGAAGCTGGTCTCCAACTCGGTCCAGGGACCATATCAATCTCCTGAAATTGCGAGCAGTTTTCCTAGCCCTGCAGCATTTCTTACCAGTTCTGGCAAGCCGTCATGTCCTCATTCAGTCCGACAACAGCTCGACAGTGTTCCACCTAAACCATCAGGGTGGAACAAAGTCCCTCAGATCCCTGCAACTCACCCACAAGATACTCACTTGGTCTCTTCCTCGACTAGCATCATTGAGGGCAGTTCACCTCCCGGGATCAAGCAATCAGATAGCGGATGCTCTGTCAAGGGATCTTCTGCACCCAGGGGATGAAGTTCCTGGAGTTCTTAGTTTTTTGCAGCATCTTTTGAATTCAGGCAAAGCAGCCTCCACACTGAAGGTATATATTGTGGCCATTTCTGCGCATCATGTTCCGGTTAATTGTTCTTCTCTTGGTTCTCATACTCTTGTGTGCAGTTTTTTGAAGGGTGCAAGACGACTGAGACCGGCCCGTAACCCATATTTTCCTTGATGGGATTTGAAACTTGTTCTTGATTTTGTCTGTCTACCACCATTAGAGCCTTTGCAGACAGCTGACCTGAAATGGATATCTTTAAAAACTGTTTTTTTTGGTGGCAGTCACTTCTGCTAAGTGTGTAAGTGAGTTACATGCTTTGTTTGTTAGCGAGTTATGTATGCGTTGGTTGCCAGAGGATTGCTTTCAGAGGAGTCTCTATGGCGGATATCTGTGCTGCTGCCACTTGGGCTTCCCCATGTACTTTTGCCCGCTTCTACAAACTCAACGTTGCTACCCCTCATGCTGTCAGTTCAGCAGTTCTTCAGGAGAAACCTTGAATTTTTTCAGTTGAGTGGCATTCCTCAAAACTATGTTGGTAGGCGTAATCAACTAGTGCTTAAGCACCACCTCTGGCAGTCAGGAGGAATGAAATAGAACGCTAGTCACGCTAGTGAGGAATATCTAAATCTTTCTCTTCACACTCCATCACAGTAGGTGGCGGTATGCACCTATAAAGTTGGTGGCATAAAACCAAAAGAAGGAGGAGTGTTTTTTTTTTCTTGTTTGTTACACTTTTCTGTTAATGCTTTTGTAATGTTTAAATGTGTTTGTACCGTATGATTTTTGTTTCTG